TGATAATGGTCACAGTGATCATCGAAAGCTTGATATTGCATTTTATATAATTATCATATTGACTGTCACCTTGTTATATAATCGTGTGTATAAAATATATTATTGAATAAAAACCATTTTGGTTAATATATAAATTTATTAAAATTAATTAAATTTTTAAAATGTCAAATTCTGCCAGTTCATCAACAACATTTGGTTGTTCAAGTTCAACAAATAGTATAACTGAATTAAAGCAATCTGTTGTGAAACAATTTTTTATTGATGTTCAAGCAAGAAGACCAAATTCGTGGCATGGTAAATGTTCAATATGTTCAAAAGGTGTTGCTGATACATATGGCACCACGTCTAATTTTGTATGACATATGAAGACAAAACATGAAAGTGAATATGAAGAATGGTTAGCTAAGAAGAATGTTAATCTTGATACAAAACAACGAAATATTGGTGATATGATAAAGCAAAAAACAAGTAAATATTCATCAACTTATCCAAGACAAGTTAAATTAACTGAATCAATAATAAAAGATTTAATAATTGAATGTGGTATACCATTATCATTAGTAGAACAAAATGGTTTTAAAAATTTCATGGAAATAGTTGATCCAATGTATTCACTATTAAGTCGTCGACAAATAACTCGTGATAAACTTCCAAAATTACATGATAATATGATTACGAAATTAAAAATATTATGTAATAATGCTGAACATGTATCAGTTACATTAGATGTATGGAGTGATAGACGTTTACGTTCTTATATCGGTATTACTTTACATACATTTGTTGATGGTGAATTAAGATCATATTTATTGTCATTTGCACCATTAAAAGGTCGCCATACAGCTGATGTTTTACTGGCTGAATTTGAAAAAGTAATTAACTATTATCGTATTGAAAAGAAATTAGTACGTTTAATTACCGATAATGCAGCTAATAATATAAAAGCATTTGATAATATTTTACTTCCAGGATTTGAAACATATTTTGAAAATGATGATCGTAACAATGATGATGAATCATTACAAGATAATGATGATGATTGTGAAGAAATATCTGATGATGATTCTAATGATCATTTTGAATTAGTACCATTAGCTGATGATATTGTTCAATGTTTAAGTGAAAATTTAGAACTATTACGTTTACCGTGCTTTGCGCACACGTTACAATTGGTTGTTAAAGATGGTATTAAATATGCATCTAATGCAACTGCTGCCTTAACAAAAGTTGCAAAAATTGCAAAATTTAGTCATGATAGTATTTTATTTGCAGAAAAATTAGAAAATTTATCAACAACAATACCACGTGCAACAAAATGTCGTTGGAATAGTCAGTATTTGACTGTTGCTGCTGTTTTGAACATTTCATTAAAGACACTTAATGATATTTTAACTGAATTAGGTAAAAAGGAATTATGTTTAACAGAAAAAAATAAAGAAATTCTCGATGAATTTATGGGATTGCTGTATTTATTTAATGAAGCAACAGTTTTAACTCAAGCTGACCAAACAGTTACAATTAGTATTGTTGGACCAATTCTTCTTAATATATTAAGTGATCTTGAATTCGAAAGAACAAAATCTGAACGTACATCTTTATTATGTGATGCTCTCGTTTCTTCATTAAAAACACGTTTTGGTGGTTTTTATAAACATTTTAATATTAACACAGATAATTGTACAGTAAAGATAAATACAAATGCTAATACATCGTTTTTATATACTGATTCAATTTTTTTGATAAGTCCAGTTTTAGATGGACGTTTTAAATTTCAATGGATCAATGATTGTGCTTTATTATCTGATTTAACAAAAAA